AAAAGGTTTTAAGCCTTCTTGAGGTCATTCCTTTTGTTGGAATCTCTGCATTTTCAGTGCCCTCATCTTACCCATTTGCTTAGAATTACCTCACTCAAGTCTTTCTCCCCCCACATTCTGACTGCTGAACTTTGCACACATCACTTGAGTTTTAAAAGGATTTTAATTTGGTTGTGTCTTGGTTCTAATGACAGGGAAGCTGTTTAATCTGACAACATAATTAGTAAGGCAGTTAAAGTTGAAAACATAAGACTGTATTTTTTTAAAGTTCATTAAAAGGTGAGAAAGGAAATCTTCCTGTTAGAGAACTATGTAGCTCTCAGTGAGGGCCACATATAAATTATTTAGAAATGGAACTTGTCTCTGTAACATGCAAAAGGAATTTGGTCTTCTGATGTATTCTAGTCCTCACTTCCTAAACACTCTTTAGATTCCATGGCCTGCCATATACTTCCTTGCTCAGGTCCTCCTATTGCTCTCTGGCAAAATTCTTCCTAGTGAGGTCCAAGTAAACTCTTGCTCCACACCCTCCCCTAAGCATTGGAATATACCTTGAAAAAGTACAGTCATGCTGATGTGTCTCACTGACCTGTTTCTCTGCTCCTCTTTACAGTTGCATTCCTTAAAAGAGGACACCGTATCCACTTCTCCCACATTTTGTGGAAATACCAACCACTCCACCAGAAGGTGGTTAGGGTCTTGTTCAGTGCCAAACGCATGTTCCTCGGTAGCATTTGACATGCGCGAGCATTCATTCTTTCCTGAAACTCTTTCTTCATTTATATCTGGAACCACTTTCTTGAGGTGGGTGACACTTCGCCTGTCACTGAGTCTCCTTGAGGATCTTCCTCATCATTTTGACCTCCATTTGAAGAACACTGAGTTCATTCTAGGGCCTCTCCGTCCTGCCCACTCACTCCCTTTGCTATATCGTCCACTTTTACTACTTTATTACTCCCAAATTTAAATCTCCAATTCCCACAAACTGCATCTCCAACTACCCAGTTGACATCTCCATATAGAAGTCTAGTAGACATCTCAAGCTTAACATGATAAAAACTAAAGTGATGGCTCGGCGCCTGTGGCTCACGTGGCTAAGGTGCCAGCCACATACACCTAAGGTATGTTTGAATCCAGCCCGGGCCTGCCAAAACAGCAATGATGGCTGCAACCAAAAATAGCCAGGCATTGTGGCGGGTGCCTGTGGTCCCAGCTATTTGGGAGGCTGAGGCAGGAGACTCACTTGAGCCCAGGAGTTGGAGGTTGCTGTGTGCTGTGATGCTACGGCACTCTGCCCAGGGGGATAGCTTGAGGCTGTCTCAAAAAAAAAAACTAAAGTGATATTCTCCCCCAAACCTGTTCATCTCTTACTTTTTCCCATCTCAGTAAATAACAACTCCATTTTCCAGTTGTTTAAAGGAAAAAAACCTCTGTTCTTTCTTTCACATCCCATATCAAACACACCGGCAAATTCTGTCAGCTTCTAAGCAGCCATCCACTTTTACCCTGAGTGCAAGCCACCATCGTCTCTTCCTGAGCCACTGCAGGAGCCTCTTGCCTTCCTGCTTCCACCCTTGCTCCTCTATTGCTCAGTCTGTACAGAGTATCCAGAGCCATGCTATTAAAACCTGAGGCATTATGCCAGTCCTCACAGCTCACAGCTCTCCAGTAGTTCCCCAAGTACCCAAAATACAAAACAGGGTCCATACGGCCCCATGTATATCATCTTGTTCCTGGATGCCTCCATGACCCCTTGTGTTGCCCTCGTCACTCACTCTGCCACACTGGCTTCTTTTTATCCTTCTGTTCCTCCATGGGAACTTGGAGTTTGCCAAGTACATTGCAAACTCAGAGCCTTTGCATTTTTTAATTCCCCTATTGGAATTGGGAATGTTGTTCCCAAAGTAGCCACATGGTTTGTCTCTCACCCTTCAAGTCTCTCCTTAAATGTCCCTTTATTAGGGTAGCGCCTGTGGCTCAGTGGGTAGGGTGCCGGCCCCATATACCGAGAGTGGCGGGTTTGAGCCAAACTGCAACAAAAAAATAACCAGGCGTTCTGGCGGGTGCTTGTGGTCCCAGCTACTCAGGAGGCTAAGGCAAGAGAGTTGCCTAAGCCCAGGAGTTGGAGATTGCTGTGAGCTGTGTGACACCACAGCACTCTACCGAGGGTAATAAAGTGAGACTCTGTCTCTACAAAAAAAAAAAAGAAAAAGTCCCTTTATTAGACATGGACTTGAGTCATGGGACAGTCCCATTGCTTATTAGAATTTTAAGGCTGAGGAGTCCTATTGTTTAATCTTTTTTTTTCTGACTTATTAGACCATGGACTCCTCCCTGCTTGTTAATACCTGTAATAATGTGGAACCCACTATGGGCCAGAGTCTTCATCCTTCTCTTTTGCCACACGATTTAGTGACTACCAAACACCTAGTGCTACCTTGAAAAATGCTATGATAACTGCCATGAGGCAGAAGGGAAGGCAGAGTGAGGGAGAGGGCCTGTGGGCACTGGGCTGAAGGTGCCAGTGAGCCTAGCCGTCTACAGGACCGAGAACGGGGATGGA